TTGATGACTTTGTTTGAGCAATGATGGACATTTTCAGTTTTCGATTATTATTTTTTAGTTTTTTCTGTAAAAATTGATTTATAAATGTTCACAAGGTTTTAGAGCAAGTTTGAAAATGTAATACAATAGATTTCTTATAAGTATATAGTTTATTCTAAATCCAAGAATAACAATTTTAGTAATGTTGTTGTAATTTAAAAATAATATTATTGTGGGTTATTGAAACTTTTAACGTATCTTTAATATACATATACACCACGATATTTTCAATAGCAATATTTTCGGCAAAAATTATTAATTTAAGCTACCTTATTACCTGCAATACTAAAATAAATTACTTTAATAGCAATATTAATATACCTATCATAAAAAAAATACTTTTATATAGGTTGACTTAAATAGACTGCCTTCGGTCATTGTTTTTTGTAAGCAATGATATTTCATTTGATTTAAATTGTACACCTACATTATAGTGAATTACGCAATGATGAGGTACACTCGACACCTGCTGTAAAGCAGTGCCTAAAAGGTCAAATATTTTTTCCCCATTTGTAATATAAAAATATTTCTTTATATTATATAATTGAATAATAATTTTTTTAACTATTAATAATAATTTTATAAAAGCATTTAAGTTGTTTTGAAATCAGGAGATATTATTTATGTATATTTATTCAAAAATCAAAACATGCATTTAACATACAGGCGTTTATTCAATTTAAATTGCTAATTGTAAAATATAATTTAATTTATATTCTCCTAATTTTATATTTTTATCAAACATACTTTTCAAATTTCCTTAAACTAATTTGTTTTAACTTTTAAGTGATGCTGTTTTTATTCAAAATTCTTTTCAAATAACGCATATTTAGCTATAATAAATTGTGATTACTTAAGACACTTGGTACAGTAGTACTGCAAAATATAATTTCAAAATTCCATTTAGTTGCTAATTTGCTATTATTTATTACTACGATATTTCAAACTTTAAAAGTAAATTATGGATAACGTGTGATTTAATAAAATAACAACCATAACCTTAAAATATTAATGCTAATATTATTATCTTCGAATAATTTTCTATTCTTAAATAATTCACATTTAAATATAATCAAATAGCACAAATATTAAATGCTAATAGTATGTTTAGTTGCAGTATGAATAAAGTCAAGTACTAACTTTTAATATTTAAGGTACATTAAACCGAAATCAATTGGCTGTATACGTAAATACTCCCTTTGACTATTAAACCATCACCGGATCACATACTATTCCGTTGAAGTTTATATTATTTGTACTTACTTGGGTTGTAATTAAGTATTAACCGATCAAATAATAAATTGTGATCTTAGTAAAATTGTATATCCCGCAAGAAAAAGGTTAAGAATATACACTATTACAAGATGACGTAGATATTGCTAAAGCCATGTGGAAATATACTTAGGCAGAATACTTCTGCCTAATGCATAATAAAATCCAATTTCAGGATATCAGAATTAAAATAAGTTTTGAACACGTGATCATCAATGATGCGTATTATACTTATAGACCAAAAGCAAATGACCATGGTTTGTTTGGAAACAAAACACGGAAAATAAAATAGTAAATGGCATCATTGCCAGTCTTATTTTTAGACAAAATGTAATGCAGTAAATTTAGTACAGTATATAAACTCTGTTGGGCATGCTAAAATTTATTAGATTTTTTTGCGTAAAGCTAAATTTTTACAATTATTTTACATCATTTATTCAGTAGGTAGTCAAATCAAATCAATTTTTTTTAGATGCTTACGTTTCTATACATTTCAAATGACATATAACTATAATAACAGATGAATCCTATATATTTTTTTTATTATGCAATACAATGGACAATTCGGGGTTCTCACAAACCGCTGTTAAAACGAGCAAAAGTTTCTATAACCATCCCCAGGCAGCAATACTTTGTACTATTGATTGACCCGATTACCTCAAAAGTAACGAAATCTAATTTTCTTCAAAAATAACGTATTTGATGCACGACCAAAAACAATTAGACTTAGCTCAAATAGTCAAATTCATAAGATAATTAAAAGATACTTTAGAATAATAATAATAAACAATATATCGGTTACATACTTATGTCTTATTTTATTGTTATAACTTATAGTGAACATTTACGATTTATGAAACTTTTAGGTACCTATACATTTATACTCTATGATAAATTAAAAAATAGTATAATTATTTTAGAATGATTTTTAATAATCCATGAGTGTTCTTTATTTTATTCGAGTTGAAAAATAAATCATCGAGTACTTAATACTCCCTGAGAATTTAATTTTTATTTAAGCATTAATAATAATTAGACCCAATCTAATAAATCATGTATTTTAAGTACCTGTAGGGATTAGGTATTCGCGTTGTTATTATAATGCTTACACATGAGTCACGTAAAACATCTTCGTCATAATTCAATTTATTTTTAATTTCGAACAAATCTTTTACATGCATTTTTAATTTTTAATTTCATATTTTCTTTAATAAGAGCTTGTAGTTTTACAGTGTTACTATTATATAGAGAACACTTATAAATAAATGTAATAAGACATTTTTATCTTAAACATAAGAATAAGAAAAATTTGTTGTAATTTATAACGATATTAAAAAAAAAGAACATTTAAATTTACTTTTACAAATTTAACCCATAACGAATTTTAATTTTAATAATTGACGGTTGGACATTTTATTTATATAAAAAAATATGTTAAGCTCTATGTTCATATTTATTTATATGTGTATGTCTGCTCGGTGCAATTTAAATAACTGATCTCATTAATTACCATGTGAACTGCTTGTTTAATGTTACATATTTACCTAACATTATTATTTATTAATAAGTCTCGTCAGCATTGCTGCCAAATTCCAATAAAAAGACATAGGTACACAAAATACCTACACTATAAATTACAATACATAATATATATTACAAACATTGTCTACATTTAATAACTAATTAATCAATTCAAATCAATTTGGTGTACTCGAAATGTCAATTAATTAAATCATATGCAACTAAAATTTTAACTTTGAAAGTTCAGACTCAAAGCAGTTCTTTAATATATTATATGACTATGAGAAACAAACACAGTGTGATACACTAATGCATAAAATGTGTATGTATGTACCTATCTATTTTAGTATTTAATATATGATTCAATAATATTAAATTGCAAAAAGATGGGTAATTGATAATTTCTAATAGTTATTAATATTGTAAAATATGAAACGTTAAGCCCCTATCACAAGTTACGCTTATTGGGGTCATGTTTTTTTTATTATTTCTTCCTGTGAATATGAGTAATATGACGTTATGTCGTATTGTTATTGGATAAGTAAACGCTTATTATTATTATTATTATAAATATTATATAATAGTTAATAACTAGTAACTAAAATAAAAAAAAACCTCAACAAAGACGTAGGTAACTGTTGGTTATTACTTATTACTTATTAGTTATTACACAATGTGCACGGTACACGAAATATGTTTGATTACATAAATACCGAATATAGTACAAAGGTAAATAATATTATATAGAACTCGTTGTTTTCGACCTTTTAGTTATTACTTATTGCATAGTCTCAAATCTATATAATAGCATCGTGGTCGTACATGTACTTATACCTACGGTGAATAGTAAATACTATCAGGCGAGTGTAGCGTCGGAGAGATAGAATAAAAATTCGCAGTTGCAACAGTACAGACGAAAGAAAATAGCTAATTGCATAAAGTTTATTATAGGTCACGAATCACGATTCTCGAAAATACAGAAGAATTCGTTAATTGAACATTTTGCGCTACAGTAATGTACGGTACATGTATGTATGTAATATAATATATACGAAATAAGTTCCGTAGCCTCCGTGTGCTTGATATGCAGCATTATATCTGTATATATTATAAATGTTATTACGAGGAGGTGTATAATATAGTTTAGCATACCATGTGATGGCAAACGGGTTTTCCGTATTATTAAAACAAACTTTCTTAGTAATTTCGGAGGTTCGTGCGTGCGAGTTTTAACGACCGCCTGAGCGTGGTGCGTCATATATATATATATTACGTATAAAATATAATATGAATTACTATAATAATAATTGTATATACTCTCGGGGTACACCCGCAATGGCATAGATATTTTCAGAACCGGGGCTGGCCGTTGCAAAACGCTTGCAATAGGCCGCGGTATCGAGTGTATTATATTATAATTATTATCACAGATGATGGGTGCGATATTCCAAAGCGCGTTCCTAGCATAAAATATTACAAGGACCATTATTAGTGTTGTTATTATTAAAAAAAAATAATATAATGGACGGCGAATCGTTAAACCTGCGGGGGCGGACGCGATGGAGAGTCATCGGTACCCATACGGCCGCACTCGTCGAGCTAGCGTGAACCTACCTATATAATATGATAGGGAAGACTGAAGAGCGCTGCGTGTGCGGCGCAGCTCAACTATTATTATTATTATTATTATTATTATTATTTTATTTTATTTTTTGTTTTCAAATTCATCACCGGTTACGGTATTTTTTTCTCTTAACGATCAATCCCCACGATTTATGCAACTATTCTCGTCCGTATACGGTAGTACCGGGTGGTCGATGGTGCAGCGGCGGTGATATCGGTGCGCGGGGCGGGATATACTATACCTACACACATACACTCGCATTGTGTGTGTGTGTGTGTGTGTGTGTGTGTGTGTGTGTGTGTGTGTGTGTGTGTGTACATATATAAATACAGAAATCGATTTTCAACCCTTGAAAAACTTTACGGGGAAAATCCGCGTAACACGCGCGCACACACACACACACACACACACACACACCCACCCTTGCACACGCACACACGCAAACACATACGTGGCACGTATAATAATATAATATTACAGCTACAGTATTGTGTATATACCTGCAACACGTCTACCTAACCTATCCGGGCTGATATATTGTAAAACGAAAGCGGTACAACTTACGTACCCAACCTATACAACGCCTCCTCGTATGAAAAATACTCTCAGCAGTCAGTGTTGGAGGTTATCGGTGGCGGTGTTTGACAACCGCGCGGTTAACCCGGTATAGTCATGGTACGGTGGTAGAATAAGACGTTTGTGGTACAATAATAGTAATTCTAGTAACTGTATAATAACATTACAGCTGCAGTACCGCTTATATATTATATACCGGTACATCTGCTTATATGTATCCGGGTTGTTATGTATCGTAAAACGAAAGCGGTACAACTCACGGACCTGACCTACAACGCCGTCTGGTATAATAACACGCTCGGTTACCGGTGTCGATGTTCGGAAACCACGGGTAACCCGGTATATTATATAGTGTTTGTAGAACGAGCTAGTGGTAGTAGTATAATTGTAACAGTAATAGTATTTTAGTAATATAGTAGTAATAGTAATAATAATAAGATTAATAGTAGTAGTAGTAGTAACTATGGAGTAGTACTACTATTATAGTATAGTCGAGAGCTGGTGCGTTCCGAAACAGCGTTGCGTAATCGTTGGACCACGTGGTTCTCGGGGCACGGCGAGATCGATATTATCGGGTCGTACAACATACCGTAATATAATATAATATTTTTTTATTGTATGCGTGTCGCGTAAACCACGGCGGGCGTATAAACATATTATATACAACGGGGTGGTTGCTCTCCCGTGCGCCGCCGAGTCGGAGGCCTGCGCGGACAGCGCGCCGCAGCGGTGAGCTCGGTCGGATGAAAGCCGCCACCCGAGTCCACGCGCGTAATGAGCGTTATCGTTGTCGACAAACGGCGGCGGCGGCGGCGGCGGCTCCCGTATACAGGCCATACAGGGTAGGGTACAACATAACGTAACGGTTTAATGATTTAGCTTTGGGGTAACCGTTACGCGTGTATACGATATCGATTCGAACGCCTTGTGTATACGATATAATAACCTAACCTACAGCACCCGTACCCTATATAACGTACACACGACGGGGCGGCGGATTTGAAAGTTGTCAGAGCCCAGGGTTTTTTACCACCCGTCACGCCCCGTCCGTGTACCTATATAGGCTCAGTCAAACGCCTCCTACGCGAGCTTACTCCGGGGTATCGCGGACGCAGGGTGTGAAATTAATCATCTCAACCCCTTGGGCCTCGGACTGTAAAAACATTTTATTGAATAATGTTTTTTTTTTTTTTTTTTTTAATCGAAATGAAGCGTCTTTAAAATCTCAGCCCTCTGTCCATGTGTACCTCAGCGCACATTATACGCGCAATAGAGTCGGCACCAGCACTTATATACTGCTACAACATCAAACCGTACATAACATTATTGTTGCTACGAATTAGCAGAGTCTTGCTATTTTTAGGATCACCTGGTTTTTGTGGACTTCCGGAAAATAGAACATTTCCCAGCACCGGAACTCTGTCGCCGCAGTACCCATTGGTAGCGTACTGCTGATGCCCGGATACCCGATTCGTGGTGTGTTTGAACCGTGTGCCGGAGCTGGGGAATTCTATTTTCTGGGATTCCGGAAAAAACCAGGAAGTAGTTAGTTCTAAAAATAGCGTAGCAAAATATAGCGAATCGTAGCAAAAATGTGATGTGTGGTTTCATGTTGTATAGGAGTAAGTGTGTTGGTGCGAACTTGACAGACGTCGCTGTGACCGCCACTCCACCGTTTAAAAAGCACACTCTTATAAATATACACCCATACATTCATACTTAGGTACATACACACATAAATACATACATACAAATATACAATATATTATAAACCTATGCAGCAGAAAGCAGCCAATAATGCAGAACTGTATATAATAATAAAATCGTGCGTACGTTATGGATTCGAACCTACCCGGGTGTGCATGTGTGTGTGTGTGTGTGTGTGTGTGTGTGTGTGTGTGTGTGTGTGTGTGTGTGCCGTGTGCGTGTGTGTAGGTGTATAAGACCACAACGAACGATTCGTGATTCAAAAACATTATGAACTCGGCGAGCAATACCTAAGGTTTTGTCGTACTCGCCAAACTGTGCGTATTTCATACAATAAATGCATAAACGTCACAAGGCACCAGCAAAACAATATAATATACTTACGACGACGTGTCATATCGCTCGAAGTGCGGAAAAATTGTAAACGTAAGCGTAAAACTGTGTAGGTACCTAAATATTATATCATAATTTATACACGTTTACGGTGCACACCGAACCTACGTGGCTACATGTATTTAATGTACACATATGTAACATAACGCATATATAAGCTATTATAATCTCCAATGCCTCGTCCAACCACCCCCGTGCCCTGTACTTTGAGGAGGGGGAGGGGTGTTGTCGGCGATGGTGTCGAAGGTGCGGGCGCGACGCAAGAGAAATTAAAGCCGCCGCGGTATATAAGGTTATACACGCGCAGCGGCGGAGGACACGAAAGCACGCCGCACTTTTGCTATAAAAAAAAAATATATACATTAATAAGTGTATTGTATATAGACGTGTACCGTGCAATAAAATATAGGTACTAGATTCGCCCCGTTCCTTTTTTGTATTTTAAATATATATTATATGACCTAATTTCGAGGACTTATTGAACGAATAGTGCAGTTTTATCGCGCCGAGGGTTCAAATACGTTCGACTCGCAGACCGCGCGATTTCGTGTTACAATAACTACGATGCCGCCACCACCGCCGCCGTCGTCGTTTATTGTAATTTATTATAATATACGTGTACTGCGGTTCGTAAAAAGAAACGGTTCGCTTTCACTGCTGGCCCGATCGTAATGTTGTATATATAATATATTCTATAAATCCAAATTGATTACTTCCTATAGAGTACAAGATATATATATATATATATACAATATTATTATTTTAGTTGGAGAACGTGGACGATTTCATTGTAAAATAGTAACTGTGTATTTTAGTATATTTTACTAAAAATATGTGTACATTGGTGCCGTGCAATGATAATTCGTATTTCGTGTTCGTAATGTGTACGGCCTTTATTTACGACTAAAACCAGGAAACACATGCAATAAAAAAACTAGTGGCATAGCATGTTGATTACGCCTTAACAATATTTAAAAAACATTTTAATCATTTTTATGTTCTTCTTTGTTCAAAATAGAACGGTTTTAAACAATTTGTATCATATTATTTCCGATATGTATATTATTGTACACATATTGCAAATTTTATACCTAACATATTATTAAAAACAAAAAAAAACATTATACAATAATATCTTGATCTCTTTAACTACCAAACATTACGATATAAGCGATAATAAAATGAAACACAAATGTATAATGTGAATACTGCTATTTATGATAAGCTATATGGATTTAAAAAATGCATAGTGATAGTTCATTTGCATATTTTCGGGTCATTCCATAAAAACATGCGCAAATGATACAAAACCTATCCAGCCCTACTTGCAAGGAATATCTGGTAACTGGTATAAATAAATGTATTACAAACTATGTACATTAAAAACATTCTATTGCAATGAACGTTTATTTTAATTGATTATTGTTTTTGTCTAGAGCCATTTATTCAGTACTATGTGTGTCATGCAATATTTAATGTACAGATGTTCGTAAAATAAAAAGATATGGAAAAGTAAACTAATACATATGTCTACGAGTGCAAAATACAAACGAAGTATCTATTAGGTATCTTCATAAAAAACGCTTTTTTATATTTCTCATATTATATCAAGTCATATAATGGTAAAGTAATAAATATTTACCAATTTAATCCCATTAGCTTATAAATTATATAAATAGTAGAATTAGTGGCCTGGCAAGGACTTTTACGGGAGGTGGGAGTATAATTACACATTTATACATATAATTGTATATTATATTAATTTACATAATATTGATATTACTAAAAAAAAATTATACGGCGTATTAAGGTACAATGTATTACAGAATTCCGATTAAAATGTTGAAAGTTAAACAGTGAACACAAACGATTCAACTCGTCCGGATTGACTTCATGGTTCATATTGTTTATCATATTTGGCGATATTTATATTGAAAATATATTTTTAAAAAACATCAATGATCAACAACCAATAGTTAATGTAGGGGAACAATATTATGTTTGATGTTGGGATACAGTAGTCGTTTTGTTCGATTAACTATAATTCCACTATAATGAGCTATAAGCTTCCCTGAAACTCTGCTTTTTTTATTGTGTCCACATGATAAACTCACAGGAAAAAATTGATCGTTTTTTATTTATTTTCCACGATTTTTAATAATGGGTAATAAAAACATTTTGTTTACATAATAAACACCTATAATTAATAACTAATATAATATCACGCTTCGTCATAACTATAAGGGGAGGTAGATGGATCTTTAGGGCATAGACCACTATAGGTTTTAAATTTTCAACCCCACGGGTTGCTTTGAACTTTTTTACCTTGCCTGTGTAACTATTAAATCCTAGTTAAATCCATGATGTCACGGGCCTAGCAAGGGAATGTCATAACCCCCAAACTACCCTTGTGTGTGCACTTAACGTCATTGTAACAGATAGCATATAAAATATAAGTATAAAATATATTATGATCTATACCTACTGTAAGTATAATAGACAGTTTATAAAACATTTGAATTTGAAAAATTATCATTAATATAGGTTTCATTAAAGGTATTCGTTTAACGATACTTTGAGTAAAAATATTTCAAAACAGCGAATATGTTAAAGATATTATTTGAATATTAACTATTAAAGTGAAAAATATAAATAATGTTTTATTTCATATTTTTTCATGATTTATGCAAGGTACCCAATGTGTATAAATTCACTCGGGAAATAACCATTTCTATATGAATTATGTAAACGTATTTAAAATGTGTCCCGTATAAGTCATATATCATTAAATTATTTACAGATAGGTACTTTCATACAATCATACAGATAAGGACTAAATAAGACTTAATATAAGTGAAATGTGATGAATACAAAATATGTGCTATAGTGCTATGTAAGAGTTAAACAATGTAAATAATATATAAATTATTAACTATATAGTATCGATTTCATTAATTCAAGTTCTAATAAAACGGTATTGATATAATAACTTATTTAATTTGTTACACTGTTTTAACTTGTTGAATTCTACTAATTATTAACTAACAATAATTACTGTTTACTATACATTTTGTATTTTCAATGTGTGAAAGAATGATAACTATTATCTACTAATTTAGTTTCTGCTGGACTCGAAAAACGATTCCTTTACACTTTACAGTATAATGGCATATACATTTAAAAAAACGATCAATTACTATATATGTCACTTAAAGGCTAAAGCTATTGACT